GTGGACCCAACCCCTGGGAGCTGGTGGCGCGTTTTTCTCCTGGACCGGTGCAGTGTTTGTGTTGGTGGTCTAAGCACAAGGCAGGAATGGAAAGGAGGTGGAAGGGAGCAGTCAGCCGAGTTGGGCTCAGAGCTTTGATACGTTAATCACGTTACCCATATGGCATAAATATTGGAAAGAATTCTTTCAGTCTTGCTCTCCAAATGACTTGTTTTGTAGAATGAAACTGTTTAAAAATGGTTACTGCAAGAACTGGTTTTCAGTAACACTAAGCATGAAAAAATTTTCCTGAGGAAAAGTGTAAAACTTTGTATATGATGCATCATACCCTTGGCAAGGTAGGACATGCAGTTTTCTATTTTTACAATTTATTATTTGAACATTTGTATCTTTAACAATTCTTTCTATCGTGCTTGTTCTATATGGAAGTATGGATCCTGCTGCAAGAATATTTTAAAGGGCTTTTAGAGATGTGACGTGTAGAACAGCAATACAATATATTTGTTACTGACTTGATATATATAAGTGAAGCAAGTGCCCCAAGTGAGAGGCTTTTAAAAGGGGGATATCTTTTCTCTCCTACCTGTGACATTATCCACATCATATCAACTTTCTGTCTGGCCAAGGTGAGCTCTACTTTGCTTCCTGAAACCAGTTGATACTGCTTGAGGAGTGTTGCTTAAATTAAAAATAAAAAATATATAAATTTTAAAAGGGATAAGTTCAGCACTCAAACTGATCTGCCATACAGCAGGCTATTGCACTGCCAGGCTGCAGCCAAATTGGCTCCAGTGCGGTTTTTAGATAAACTTGTATTAATGCCTTTCTTCCACTACCATGAACTCTTTAACCAGGGCTGTAGCTTTACAGAGCCTGAAATGAGGATGTCTGATTGTCAGAACTTGGGGGCCTGATTGAGAGTTTCACCATGATTAAGCTGCAAAACTAAATTCTGTGTGATGCAAGTCCCAAGTCTGTATGTGCATACACAAGTGAGTTAGGGCTGTATCTCTCTGATGTGTTGTCCTTCCTCTCATTACACTTACACCTGGTTACGTTACAGTTCAATTCTCAGGTGTTGCAGAAAATCTACCTCTTTGGACTGTAGATGGAAATAACTGTGAAAAAAGTGATGCAGAAATCTAGTTTGTGCTAAACACACTGCTTTATTTTTACAACCCATGTCTGCTTTCATGAGAGAAAAAAAGATAAATGAACAGGCAGTCTTTGTTTTGCTTTTCAAAAACATTTTGTAGAGATTTTTCACTAATGTGAATCTGAAATTTTATCTACTCGATTCTGTATAGATTAAGTAAATAAGTATGCTTAATATATTGGACTCTGAGTTTTTCTTTAACACCGTTCTCATGCCTGACTGGATCTACTGCACTCTGACTGTATTTGTTGAGAGTTCAAGAATGCAAATTAAAAGATGTGAAATACAAGGTGAAGAGGTGAAGTGTATTGTTCAAATCAAATGCCATGAGGCCGGGGCTGCGCAGGGTCGCTGTGGTGCCCAGCACACGTTGCAAGGGCTGATGCTGCTGTGAGGGAACCGCTGCCCTCCCGTCCTCTTCCTGTGCTGGAGCCCGTGCTCGGCCTCTGCCTTCCCCAGGGAATTCAGGTTGCACCTTCGCTCTCCAGAAGGTTCTCGACTCCTCAGCACCACAGCTTGACGGGGGCAGGGCCTTGCGGTGCTCCCTTTTAGACAGGGCTGCCTCGCAGTGTCAGCAGGGGCTGCCTCATGAGGCCGGGTGGTGCGGCCGCCTCTCGGCATCGCTGCTGCCTTCCCCAGCCTGCAGGACTGGGCTTGGGGGTCACTCTTCTCTTGTGTAGGCATTTTCCTAGGTAGGGTGTAATAGTGTTTACCACAGCATGCTAGTATGGTGTCCTCTGTAATGCTGGGAAGATGGCATTGATTTTTATCGAAAAGTCAGGTCACCAAATTCATCTTACGAGATGAATGATGTAGGTTCTTGAACCTGAGCTTTTCCTAGATATTTGAAAATCTAGGTATACTGCATTGACTGTCCATGTTCCAGGTGTTTGTTCCTTTAGAGCATTTCCTGGGATCTCGGCCTTTTTTTTTTCCCCAAAAAATCAGCCCAGGGGCTGATTTTGCCCCTGTGTAAACATCTCTCCTTGCTACACTTAGCTCTACAGCTCTACTGGTGGTGTTCCCATGGATCTCCTTAATCCTCACAAAACTTGGTATATTCATCTCTAGCAAAATCTCATAAATTTGTGACATACAGCCAGTCAGAGGAGACTTTATCACTCTCTACAACTACCTGAAAGGAGTTTGAAGTGAGGCAGGGGTTGATCTCTTCTCCAGAATAGCTACTGCTAGTGTAGAGAATGGGATGCGGAAGAATGTCGAGGAGACAGGCCATGGGGCCTGCCCAGGCTGTCATGGGGCGTGCTCAGCTTATGGCCAGGTCCTGTACACCCCTCAGCCTCCGCTCCTTATTGCACATTGTACCACCTGATGCTTATGTGCTATTTACCTGATATTAGGACCAATCGAATTGTAACATGGAACGATCATGAGCTTATAGTAGTTATATAAAAACATAGATTCCCCTTTCCCCTACTCCTTGCCATGGACCTTGCTCAGCAGGGCCTGGAATCTCTTCCTCTTTCTCCTGCTGGGAAACTGAGGAGGCCACGTGCAGAAGCGGAGGTAATAAAAGCCTTAATTTGACCACTGTGTGCCTTGGGTTTGTGTGCCTGCTCCTGTTGGATGCCCAGGTGACTGAGTTGCTGCCCAGTCCTTAGAGCGAGGAGAAGAGGAAATGACCTCAAGTTGCACGGTTCAGGTTAGACATTAGGAAAAAGTCCTACATGGAGAGAGTGATGAAACATTGGAACAGGCTGCCCAGGGAAGTGGTGGAGTGACCGTCCCTGGCAGTGTTCAAGAAACGCATAGGTGAGGCACTTAGGGACATGGTTTAGCAGGCAGGGTGGTGATGGGCCTACAGTTGGACTCAATGACCTTGAAGGTCTTTTCCCACCATTGTGATTCTATGAAAAATGATTTTGCAAAATTACTCTGTCTCCCCTCTGGTGCACATATATGTTCCCCTTAACTCTTCTGTCTTGAGAAGAGTAGCTCTGAGGTGAGAGCCTCTTTGGCCTCCCGCGCGGGGCCGGGTGGGGCGCCCGCCTCTCGTCATCGCTGCTGCCTTCCCCAGCCTGCAGGACTGGGCTTGGGGGTCACTCTTCTCTTGTGTAGGCATTTTCCTAGGTAGGGTGTAATAGTGTTTACCACAGCATGCTAGTATGGTGTCCTCTGTAATGCTGGGAAGATGGCATTGATTTTTATCAAAAAGTCAGGTAACCAAATTCATCTTACGAGATGAATGATGTAGGTTTTTGAACCTGAGCTTTTCCTAGATATTTAAAAATCTAGGTATACTGCATTGACTGTCCATGTTCCAGGTGTTTGTTCCTTTAGAGCATTTCCTGGGATCTCGGCCCTTTTTTTTTCCCCAAAAAATCAGCCCAGGGGCTGATTTTGCCCCTGTGTAAACATCTCTCCTTGCTACACTTAGCTCTACAGCTCTACTGGTGGTGTTCCCATGGATCTCCTTAATCCTCACAAAACTTGGTATATTCATCTCTAGCAAAATCTCATAAATTTGGCTGTATGTCACAGTCAGAGGAGACTTTATCACTCTCTACAACTACCTGAAAGGAGTTTGAAGTGAGGCAGGGGTTGATCTCTTCTCCAGAATAGCTA